TGCGTATAATGATGGTATGTATATATAGAAGTGTGCCCCAAACATGGGTGGATGATCAAAAGTAACCCTAATTACTGAAAATTAAGATTAAATTGAATTAAAACAAATTGGGTGCAAAATGACAGATTTGGCCCTTCCTAACAAGTTGTGGAATTCAAGAACAGTCCCTATGTTGCCTTAGGACTTGCGTGATCTTGCATGGCTGATTTGAGGTCCTTCCGATGGCTGGTTGATCATAAGATGATTGTTTTCTTGTTGGGCTCAACATGACGATCGATTTGATACTAACTTCAAGCCATGGATCGCGTTTTTGGTGCATGATCGTGTGACTTAAAATTTGAGTAGATCTTGAAACTTTGGATCAATAGTGTGTTCGTTCCTTGATGTTATTATATGTTTTCTTTGCTGAATCACATTGAGCATGCCACTACGATCACGGGGCACCAAACATAGCTCGATTTCGTGGCCGAATGAAGATTTTGCAAGTTTGGAATTTTTGCCAGAATCAAGGATTCCGATGACGGAATTTGCAGTCTATTCGTCGGCTTCGTGTGCAGAATCCGACCATTAACCATGTACGGGTTCGGTTCAGAGATGGCCCAAGACCTTACGCTCGCAATGGAATTAGTCTCGAGTTGATCGGGCTTGTGAGCGGCGTGATTTGGCCACTCGAGCGAGGCACGACGCTGTTGAATTTTTTGCACTTTCTTCACGGATCAACAACTTTTCTCTAGCTTTTCTTCGCGCTCGGATATCGTCACGGGGCATGCCACATATTAAATCACTCGTCTTGATTAGACGAACGTGTTCACCAAATTTGAGCGCGATCCGACTTAGGACGAGTGAGATATGAGTGTTGAAAGTCACTAGTCGTGATTGTCCCTTCAATGGTGTAGTGTTACAGGGTGGCCGCACGGGAATAGCGTGCGGCTTCTCTTGTTTCACTCTTTCACATATGACTTCTTCATGGAATATCTGTTTGAGCTGAAACTTGAACTTTGGGGGTTTTCAACCATTCCAGATCAAATGGTGGTGGTCTCACAGTAATTTTGAGATGCTAAAAATGTAGCTCTAGTTATAAGGGTCCATTTCAAGGTGCTAGAGGTTGATTCTGCCATAACTGTTTCTCAGTTTGCACTGCCTTAGACATATCGGAATGCAACAGAACTTGGCAAATACTATTGAGAGACCTCATGAAGATCTTGACTTGTTCTGGGGCTGTTCTGAGACGGTCGAAATTTCCATTACTTGTTAGGCCTTTATTGAGCGGGGGCCCATGTTGATGAAAAATACCTTCCAACAAACGCATCTCTCTATATCAATAGCTAGGCGTTGGATCTCACATGAGCCACACTCGTACCCCTTCTCTCACATATGCCGTTACGAGTCGTGTCATGTAAAAAATGGACCAAGCCCTTATACATGCTTGGCCAAGGGGTACCTCATATGCCAATGCGAACGTGCTAAGTGTAAAATGTGGCATCAACACCCTGGCACATGTGCCTGTGCATCGCATGCTTTATGCGCTCTGCACAAGTGCACTCACTCTCTCATTTGTTCCGTGAATATAAAACATGATAGTGTTCTTATATTTATACCACTCTTTTCACTCCACTCTTCAATACTAAAATCCACTGCTTCCTCTCTCTATTTATTTAAATATATATATATATATATATATATATATATATATATATGTAGTCCGACAGGAACTTAAGGTCTTCTTGAGAAATGGAGAGGCAGTTTCCTCCAAGGGCTTCAAAGATGGAAGAGGGCGGACTAATGTAGTAGCATTTCGCCCATGGGGAGAGGGCGGACCAATGTAGGACTAATGTAGTAGCATTTTGTCCATGGGGTGAGAGGGCGGACCAATGTAGTGTTTCACCCATGGGCACAAATGAAGTATTGATAAATTTGAGTAATTCACTAAGGATGACAAGTTCTTTTTTTTTTTTTGGAGTAATTCAATGGGGATAACGAGCGTTTCACCGATGAGGGGAGAAGGCGGACCAATTTAGTGTTTCACCCATGGCACAAATGAAATATTGTTTTTTTTGAGTAATTCAATGAAGATGAGGAGCTCTTTTTTTTATTTTTTATTTGGAGTAATTGAATGGGGATAACGAGTCCCACCCCCGTTTTTTAAATCGTCAGCGGTCTTTTTAAGAGTCTGGTCACAGTGGAATCCTAGACCTGCGCTCCACACAAATGTTCCTACCACCGCGTCCCCAACCAATCTCAGCAAATGAAGAGTTGTTACAACTGTGTTAATACGTAATATTAAACGAACCCTTTTCCCGCTCTGGAGCTTGCAACATCGTGAGGTAGTGCAATTTTAGAGGTGAGCAGCGAGCCCCTGCATCCATTCAATTTTCTTCAATCCTCATATATTTGAAAGCTGTGTAATGAGTTAGTTTTCAATTTCTTATTTACAGTTCTTTCTGAAATAGGCTTTTGGTCGCTTAATTGTTTTCTTGGTCTATAGTTTTCTATAATTTGATCACTAATTAAATTTTCATCTACAATTAGGGTTTCATTTTCTCTTGCTTACCATTGATTTGAGAGCTGAAGCTTTTTAATTCATGTTCCAACTTTTCCCATTTGGCTGCATTCTTGCTCAGTCTCGATTGTTTCTCTTGTTTCTTAGGGTTTACGCTTAATGCGCCATTACTCTTGAACAGCGTGCAAATAACGCAGGTTGGAGCCTTTCATGGCTATCATTTGTAAAATAGGGTTTTGTGGTTTCTACATTCAATAGTCATTTTCGTGCCAATAACTTTGGTGATTCAGCTACCTTAAGGGTTGACTACGCGTTTTTATTCTAGAAACAATTTCCCAAGGAAGAAAATATCTTTTCAATAATGGGTGGCTTAATATCTCTTTGAAGTTAATTTTCTGTTCCTGCAGTTCAGTAGTCATTTTGTTATCGAGTTGTTTTTAGGGGTTCTCTTTTTTATTCCATTATTTTTTTTTTGAAGCTGTTAACTGCTTTTTTACTCCATTATTCTTAAAATATTTGTGAGTATTAAAATAAGAAATAGAACGGCCGCACCTTAATAAGCTTTTCCAGTTTAATTTGTAGTTCTTGCTATCAGTTTTAAGAGGGTTTGAGACCATATTTGTAGGGATATGTGGATTTCCCTTCCCGTGATTAAAAGGAACAAAAAAAAAAGTTACAACTTAAAATGAATTCTAGATACTCTGAAATAGGGAACTTAAGGCTCCACAATGCAATAAGTTATTATTGTTTTTGGAAAAAATTGCAATAGCAGGTGTCACTAAAAGTAGCTGCAAAAGTACTACACTCATATGTTTGTTTTACACTCAGATATTAGGGTATCAACCTGCAATCAGGGCTTCATTCTACAGTAAGGTAGTGATCTGTTTGCATAGAATCTTGCCGCCAAAATGGCTTCAAGTGGTCCAGCTCCATCTATGAAAAAAAGGGAATCTTCTGGATCGAGAGAAGGGAATCAGCTAATCATCACACCATTGGGCGCAGGCAATGAAGTGGGTCGTTCCTGTGTTTTCATGTCTTACAAGAACAAGACTGTTCTTGTAAGTTTTCTCACTTGTATATGAGTTATCTTTGTAGTATTGGGATTGGTTTCCCATTTGAGCATATTTTTTGGTTTTGGAATAGTGTTTTGATTTTGACTCTTGTGGTCGTTCTTCTGTTTCTTGTTGACAGTTTGACTGTGGTATCCATCTTGCATATTCAGGCATGGCTGCTTTGCCTTACTTCGATGAAATAGAGCCTTCAACCATTGATGTACTTTTGGTCACACAGTATGTATTTCAGTATTTACTTATACCTTTATGTGCGTGCTGACTTAGGGGTTCAAAATATTAAAGTTTCTGGAATACAATTGCATTGTTTATGTGAATATCAACTTCTGTAAACTATGGGACATATGCTAAAGGTCTTTATACTATACTTTTCAAGAGTGTAGCATTTGGGTAATCATATCCAACATCCACTGTCCATACTTCTAGGGGTGGTGTAGTTGAGTAATTGTTCCCGCCAAAAGAACTGGTGGTTATAAAAGTGGGGACCCAACTCATCATTCATTGCCCTTGGATAAATATGGATGGCATATGTGCCATTTCATTAATCATGATCCAATGTTATATGTGCATGTTAGAGCGTTCTCTACAAGCGATAGGCTGTAGTGGCAACCTAGTGCAGAAAGAAATGAACAAGGGTTAGCTAGGGTGTTCCCTAGAAGCGACGCGCCTCAACCACCCCGTGTTGCTGTGCTGAGTTAGGCAATGTTAAAAAATTTGCCCGCCCAACAGCCTAAGCAGGAAAAAAACATGTAAAGCCCTTTTGAACAAATAAAAAATAGCTTAGACCTATAAAAATGGTTTGGGCCCTTCTTTCTTTAGTTCACGGGCCCAACTGCTCTTTCTACATATATGTAGTAGAAAAAGAAGATGGCCTCCAAGTGTTTGATGTGAGGCCTCTCTCTTTCACGCATACAACACAAAAACACACATGGACCCCTATGCTATATTTCATCATATAAGAAGAAAAAGAATATGATTACCCCTGTGCTATACCTTTTTAAACAAAATGTAGTATTTTTCTAAATGCACCAATGACAACCCATTCTAACATTAATCTTTATATTTTGAGGGGTTAACTCCAAATATATATAATTTGGCAATAGAAATGATCAAAACTTAGAAGAATATAAAAATACTCAGAAAAACTCTAAACAAATAGGAAGGTAAATTTAAGGCATACAATAATCTATACAGTAAAATGGGAACAACAAAAGATGGAAAAAATGTTTTCAAATTAGTAAAAATGAGAGAGAAAAAATATAGGGATTTAGACCATATTAAATGCAGTAAGAGTGATGACCAAAGGGTCTTGTTAAGGATACAAAAGTCAACGAAAGGTGGATGATTTATTTTCATAAATTATTAAATGACGAACACAATTGGACCAAAGTAGTAGAACGAATTGTTGAAGTGCCTAGGGGAGATCGGCATTGATTGGCTGATCAAGCTGTTCAACAAGGTGTTAAAAACAAAGAAGATGCCAAATGAATGGAGGACAAGTATTGTGGTAACCTATTTACAAGAACAAAGGAGGTATAGAATTGTGCGAACGATTGAGGTATCAAATTTATGAGCCACGCTATGAAGATGTGGGATGAAAAGTGTATCAGAAAATTAATTTGGTTTTATGTTAGAGAGGTCAACAATTGAGGCTATTTTTCTAGTTAGGCAACTGATTGAGAAATTTAGATGAGATTTATTTTGCCGGGTGTTGGAAAAGAAAGGAGCCTCCAGATACTACATAGATTTGGTGAGAGATATGTACGAGGGAGCGTTAACTAGTGTGTGAATAACTAGTGGAGAGACAAGTGAGTTTTTGGTGACAATAGGTCTACATCACAGGGTCAGCGTTGAGCCTATATCTCTTTGTCTTAGTTATGGATGATTAACTAAGCACCTATAAGATGAGGTACCACGATCTGTGTTGTTCGTGGACGACATAGTTTTGATTGATGAGACCCGAAGCGGTGTCAGCACAAAGCTAGAACTTTGGAGGGATGCTCTAGAATTTCAAGGTTTTAAAATCAGCTGGACTAAGACAGAGTATATGGAATGCAAGCTTAGTAATAATAGGAATACAGATGAGAAAGTAGTTAAGATTGACTGTGAAGAAATACCAAAAAGAGCGCAATTTCGACATCTTTGGTTGATAATCCAAGAAAACAGAGAGATTGAGGAAGATGTCGCACATAGAATTAGAGCTGGATGGGCGAAATGGAGATGTGCAATCAGAGTTTTATGTGTTCGCTGCATACCATTGAAGCTGAAGGGGCAGTTCTATAAGATTGTTGTGAGACCATCTTTGCTTTGTGGGGCAGAATGTTGGGCAGTTAAGAAACAACATGGCCATAGGATGAAGCTGAGATGAGGATATTAAGATGAATGAATGGCAAGACAAGAAGGGATAGATCGAAATGAATACATTTGGGAGAACTTAGATGTGGATCCAATAGGCGATAGGATGGGAGAAAGTAGACTTAGGGGGTTGGTCATGTGCAACATAGGTCTAGTACAACACTTGTTAGGAGGAGCGAGTTGGTTTAAGTAGAAGGATAAAAAGAGCCAAGGTAGGCCCAAAAGGACATGGTTAAAAGTAGTGAGAAAAGATATGGGACTTGTGGCTTCATTGAGGTTATGGCCCCTTGATAGAGTAAAATGACGGACTAGAATTCATGTAGTCAACCCCAAATAGTTGGAAAAATACTTTGATGATGATGAGGATAATATATATCAAAGAGATGTCCCCCACCCCCTATCTTGGAAACTTTATTGCTGCCCAAGTATTTGGCCCGCCCACCTAGGCGACCGCTCAGTTGCCTAGGTGGTTAGGACTCTTGTCCGCCTAACCACCTAGGTGATCAGGACCCTTGGCTGCCTAGGTGGCCACCTCCACCTTTTTGAACATTGTCAATAGGCAAGGGTTCCTATGCTATTTTTGATGAGCACTAGTAAATAAGTTAGTCCAAGAGAATATGATTGGTCTAGTCACATGAAATATAGGAACTCTAGTATTTTAGAGTGTGGAGTAAGTAGATACAATGAGAGAAAAGAGAGTTAACATAGCTTGCTTACAGGAAACTAAGGGAAAAAACTAAAGAAATTGATTGATATAATAAACTTTGATATATAGAAAAGGATACTAACAGAATTGACGGAGGCATGATAGTAACTGAAAATTTAAAGGATAAAGTAGTATATGTAATGAGAGTAGGTGATAGGCTCTGTTAAATAAACTTGGGATAATCAATGTGATTAATGCCTATGCGCCACAGTTAGGACTGAAGGATAGAATTAAAAGACAATTTTGGGAGGATATGGTTGGACTAGTTTAAGGAATTCCAAATGGAGAGCAAATTCTTTTAGGATGGGACTTAAATGGTCATTTAGGAAAAGACAATAGAGGATATGAAAAGGAGGTTATGGATTTGGAGAAAAAAATGAGATCAATGATACTATTCTTGATTTTGCTATGGCTTACAACTTAGCAATAGCGGACACTTACTTTAAAAAGCGAGATCAGAGTTTGAAAATTGGGCTGCCCGACCGCCTAGGTGAAAAATTAAAAAAAACGTCGAGGCGCTGTCTGGACGGTGGAATTATGCGGCTTGTCTCCAGGCACCCTAGGTGCCGCCGAGGCGTGCAAGGTGGAGCCTAGGCGCTATAGTCTGTGTGCCTTCCTAGGCATTGCCCAGTGAAAATTTGCGGAAGGTAGAAAAAAACCCTCGTCGAGGGTAAAAAAAATGTCATTTTCCCCCCTAAAAAGGGGGAAAAGGGTTTTGGGGGTATTCTAAACTTCCAAAACAAAAACCGTGGCTTTTAGGGTGAGAAAAGCTCCCCCAAAACTACTCTTTTGTGATTTATCGAAAGATCGATAAAATTTTGATTTTTGTGATTTCTTTTCAAAACAAAGGCAATAGTTCGTGGGTGGATTTAGAGCTTCTAGTAGTTGATTTTGAGAATTTTTGGCGACCCAATAGACGAAGTTTGCATCGACATCGATTTGATTTTGATATTTTTAAAGTATTATCCTATTTGAAGGAGGGCTTTGATTTTAATTTGCTACAACATATTATGTTGCGAATCATGTGTTTTTCTTTTACCTTTTTTTTCTTTTTTCTTTTATGATATATTTATATATTTGGTTGATGACTTGATGTATTTGTTTTTTGATTTTGCCTTGTTGACTTTGTGTATCGTTTCTAGTCTAGACTGCTAGTTTTGACTTCGTGTATCGTTTCTAGTCTAGACTTCTAGTTTCCTGCAATGATATTTGGGATTTTCAAGCATTTAATGTCTTACAAGTTACAATCTCTTTGAGACTTGTATCCGTAAGTCTGTTATGTGATTGTACTATTACATTTTCATCTATTTCTCAAGGAGTTTGGGGCTCTAAAATTGCCCTAAAAACTCCCAAAGACTTAAAACCATGCCCTAAGAACTTCCTTGTTTTTTTTGTTTGGGGTGGGGGTTTCAATTTTGGTGAGGGCACCCTGTCACTGGGCGAGTGCCTAGGCGGCCAGTCACCCAAAACGCCTAGGCGCCTAAATCCGTATTTTTGAACATTGAGCGAGATGAACATTTAATATCATACACAAGTGGAACATATAAATGCTCGATAGACTTATTTCTAGTTAAGAAGGCAGTCGACTATCTTGTAAAGACTGTTAAGTTATCCTTGGAGAGAGATTTGCCACACAACATAAACTCATGATTATGGATATTTTCATAAGCAGATGGAAGATGAGTGAAATTAATAGGTGCCCCAGAACTAGGTGGTGGAATTTAAAAAGGGAGAAAATAGATTTGTTTAGGAATCAATTGATAAAAGAAGGAAAATAAAATTCTAAGGATGAAGTTAATGTTATATGGAATGAGATGACTGATTGTATTAAGAAAGTGGCAAAATAAATTTTAGGAGAATATAGAGGGTAAATATATTTAAATAAGGAAACTTGGTGGTAGAGTGATGATGTTAAAAAGGCTAGTAACAAAAAACGATTGTGTTACAAAGCTTGGCAATGGAAGACTATATAAGGCTAAGCTTAAGGCATGTGATGATCTATACAATAAATTGAGGAGAAGAGAAAGTGAAAATGATATTTTAAAACCAACAAAAATTAGAGAGAGGAAATGTAGGGACCTAAATTATGTTAAATGCATTAAGAGTGAGGATCAAAGTGTTTTGGTGGAGGATGACGAGGTCAATGAAAGGTGGAGAATTTATTTTCAAAAATTCTGAAATGACAACCACTATGAGAGCATAACATTAGGATGAACTTTTGAAATAATTGAGGTTGGAGGTTATATGTACATTGTAGGATTAGGATATTTAAAGTGATAGAAACTTTGAGATAGATGAAGATAAGAAGGCTTTAAGACCAGATTGTATCCCATTAGAGGTTTGGATGTGCTTTGGAGAGATTGGCATATTTTGTATCCCATTAGAGGCTTGGGCTAGTCTTATGGGGTCTACGACAAGGCTGGGGACTGGGCTGGTTTGGCCCTTTGCTAGCCCTACCTCCATATGATCTTTATTGCTTTATAGAAAATGGTACCTAAATAGTTAATTTCTTGGATGTTGGAAAAGAAAGGAGTATCTAGAGGATATACTGATACAGTGAGAGATATGTACAAGGGATTGTTATTTAGTATGAGGACAACTAATCGAGAAACAAGGGAGTTTTCACTGCATTAGGGGTCAGCATTGAGCCCGTATATCTTTGTTTTGGTTATGGATGAGCTAACTATACATCTATAGGATGATGTACGTTGTTTATGTTGTTTGCGAATGACAGTTTTGATTGATTAGACTAGAGATGGTGTTAATGCAAAGTTAGAACTTTGGAGGGATGCTCTAGAATCAAAAGGTTTTATGATTAACTGGACCAAAAAATAGAATGTATGGAATGCAAATTTAGTAATAAAAGAAGAAGAAATGAGGAATTACTTAAGATTGATGGCCTAGAAGTACTTAAAAGAGATTATTTTCGATATCTTGGGTCGATGATCCATGAAAATAGAGAGATTGAGGAAGATGTCTCGCATAGAATTATAGCTGGGTGGACAAAGCGAAGATGTACTTTTGGAGTCTTATGTGATCATTGCATACCAATGAAACTAAACGTGATGTTCTATAGGACCGTTGTAAGACCAGCCATACTTTACGTGATGGAAAGTTGGACGGTAAAGAAATACCATATTCGTAAAATGAGTATAATTGAGATAAGGATGTTAAGATGGATGAGCGGTAAGATAAGAAAGGATGGAATTTGGAATGAATATATTCGAGGGGAGTTGGGGGTGACTCTACTAGGCGATAAGATACGGAAAGTAGACTTAGGTGGTCTAACAATATGCAGCGTCGACTTAGAACATGATATGGATAATTTGGTTCAAGTAAAATGCTGTAAAAGGGCAAGGGGAAATGCCAAAAGGACATGCATGGAAGAAGTGAGAAAATTTACGATGACCTATCTAACTGAGGGTATAGCCCTTGATAGAGTTGAATGACAGAACATGATTCATATAGCCAACCCCTGATAATTGGGATAAGGCTCTGATGATGATGATGATTTACTATGTTGGGTCGTTTCCCCAAATTGTATGGAGTGTGGAGTATTTTCCCTCTTCTAAAAGTTTAAGGGTGATTTCTTGGCCTGGGATTTGCCAAAGGTTATTGCTAGAACGAGTCTTGTCCCTTGAAATCAGCTAGTTCATCAAGTCCCTAGTGGCATATCATATGCCTTAAGAGAGTGTGTTTAGTAGTGTCTTTAAGAGAAAGTTTGAAGAACCATGTTAGTAGTTGGCTCACCAGAGACTGTGGACTAAGTGCTTCTTGTGAAAAAAGGGAAAAGTTCACGAGGATGATCCACAGTTGCCGAAATCTACCAACATAGACAGCGATCCCGCTTTGGAATCTTGCTCAATCGCTCCTAAAAAGGGATCTTCAAGTGATTTCGATTTTTAAATTTTGGGATGTTGAACCCCATTGCTAGGGATCCTGATTCCTAATTTTAGGGATCTTGATTCCAACCTTAAAGACCCAAATGACAACTAAATTAATGTTTTTTTTAGTTATAGCTAACTAGCAACTCAACTATATTTTTAATATAATTGCATTGCTTGCTCACTGTAAATAAAGAGATCCATACTTTAAAGAGTTTATATAGTTGTAGATTATACATATTAGGAGCAAGATCCCCAAAAGGTTGGGATCAAGAACTGAAAAGGTTGGGATCAAGATCTCCAAAAGGTTGGGATCCTGATACCTAGCATTTGGGTATCCAGATCTCTAACGTATGTATTGTATAGACGACGCTCCCAACCATAGGGATCATCTGGCATTTCATGTCCCCCGTTCCTGATCCCGATCCCGTTTCCCGTCTCGCTCCCAATCACAGCAACTAACAATGATCATTCTCTATGTCATTAATAGTTCTCTCATGTCATTCTTAATACTCGTACACAAATAGACATGCAACACATGATCACATGCTAAATCAGAATTCAAGTACTTGACGATATCCAGATATTCGTGTTAAATGATTTTCACTTGATTGATAGTGTATATGGTTTAGAAGCTCATTATTTATGATGAAAGAATGGTCCATTTTGTATTGTGTTGATGCGCTTTCTTTTCCTTTAGCACTTTCATGGTTTAACCAGTACAACATTTTATCTTCATCGAGTATACTCTATAGACCTCAAGAATGTATTTGTGGGTGTTTTGTATTTGTTGGTCCATGTGTGTGGTTGTGTTTTATTTTTTGTTTTATTCTGGCACTTACCTGAAATTTTGTAATTTCAATTTGACAGTTTTCACCTGGACCATGCAGCTTCACTTCCATATTTCCTAGAGAAGGTAAGGAATCCCTCAGCTATGTGGATTCCACAGCTATGTTATTGAAAGATTTCCAATTTCTAGTTTATCCAAGTATGGGAGTGGAGTCCAATTTAAAGTTGAGGTAGATAACTTTATACCACTAGACCATACCTCTCCAGCCCCCAAGTTATTGAGATTCAGTTAGATCATGGGCTGATGTAGATGATGATGTGAATTTGCAGACCACATTCAAGGGCCGGGTTTTTATGACCCATGCTACTAAGGCTATTTACAGGCTGATTTTATCAGATTATGTGAAAGTTAGCAAAGGTTCTGTTGAGGACATGTTGTATAATGAGCAAGATATAATACAATCCATGGATAAAATTGAGGTGCGTTTTCTGCAGTCTCTAATCATATGCTCATTGGGGTAAATTGTTTTCTTTTTTTTCCTTTTGGAATGCAAGTGTTTTTGGTAACTGTTGGGCCACAATCTAGCCACCCATTACTGAATCTGAGCTATCCTCTGTGTCTGGGTAGATCATGAGTCTACAAGCTACTGAAGGTTTTCATCCAACTCCTTTTTTGTTTTTCCTCAATTTTTGTGAGTGTAAATTAATGGTCTGAAACTTTATGCTACTTCTGGATGGAGCTAATTTTTTGGATTTCTTATGTTAAAATATCAATGAGCTTTTGAATAGTTAGAAAACTTTGCAAATGACCAAATTTTTATTTCAGAAAATAAGATGACAAAACTGAAATTTAGCTTTTACGTGTCGTTATAATAATGGGAAAGTTAGTCCAAGTTTGTCTAAATTGGGCTGAAAATAGTCCAAGTTTGTCTAAATTGGCTAAAACTCAATCCACTGGTCAGTCTTTTCAACCTGATTGCTTCATTTAGTTTGTTTGGATTCACCCTTATTTGATACAAATGGGAAATGGTTAGATAGACTGTTCCTTTATGATTCAATAGCACTACATTCAGATATCTATGCATACTTGAATCTCGTGAAAATGCTTGCAGGTGATCGATTTCCACCAGACACTGGAAGTGAATGGTATTCGCTTCTGGTGCTATACTGCTGGACATGTACTCGGTGCTGCAATGTTCATGGTTGACATCGCCGGGGTTCGTGTTCTTTACACAGGTGACTACTCGAGAGAGGAGGACCGCCACCTCCGTGCTGCTGAGCTCCCACAATTCTCACCTGACGTGTGCGTCATAGAGTCAACCTATGGTGTACAGCTCCATCAGCCACGTGTTGTGCGTGAAAAACGTTTCACTGATGTCATTCATAATACTGTAGCTCAAGGTGGTCGGGTCCTTATACCTGCCTTTGCCCTCGGACGAGCTCAAGAACTTCTGCTTATACTTGATGAGTATTGGTCAGCCCACCCTGAACTCCATAACATCCCTATATATTATGCTTCGCCACTTGCTAAGCGTTGCATGGCAGTGTACCAAACCTACATTAATGCAATGAATGAAAGGGTGAGGGCGCAATTCGAGGTTTCCAACCCCTTTGATTTCAAGCACATCTCGTCACTCAAGAGCATTGAGAACTTGGATGATGTTGGGCCTTCGGTTGTCATGGCCAGCCCAGGTGGATTGCAGAGTGGCCTCTCTAGGCAGTTGTTTGATATGTGGTGCCAGGACAAGAAGAATGCCTGTGTTATACCTGGTTATGTTGTTGAAGGGACCCTGGCTAAGACCATCATCACTGAGCCCAAGGATGTGACACTTAGTAATGGGCTTACAGTGCCTTTGAACATGCAGGTATGTAATAATCCCCCAAAAAAAAAAGAGTGGATAAAGATCACTAACACTTCGTAGCTTCTATATTCACTCAGTTATTCATTAACTAGTTCTAATGTTTTTTGTGTTTGGTTGGCAATTTGGGTTAGCAATATTTGTTGATAATTTTTTTTTCTCTATTTTGTCTCGTACTTTGTACCAATTAAGATCTGTTTAAGTCATTGTTATTTGATTCTGTTAATTATCATCCATTGTATGGAGCATGTCAACTTGTTATTTGGATTTGATTTTTGAACAAGCGCAAATCATATATGCTAGTCAATTGCTTGTGCATATGGGCATACCGAACCTGTCCCCAGTTTAAGACATAGGGGGGAAGTGGGAAGGGATTCATAAGAGTGAGGTAGGGAGGGTGTGACTGCCTGATATCGCATTTTCATCAGTCGTCCCCTTGATGGAGTGAAGTTTTTGGGGCCT